TATGGGATGTTAAGACAGGATAATAAATAGCCAAATTAGATGGCCATTCATCAACAGTTTATTCAGTCAATTTCTCATCTGATGGAAATAGATTAGCTTCTGGTAGTGATGATAACTCTATTCGTCTTTGGAATGTAAAAACATCAAAGGAAATACTTCAATCAGATAGAAGCTATACAGGTTTGCTTGCCTAGTTTACGATACCTCTTCAGAATAGCTCCTTATTGCCAAATGGTATATATAATTAATTATTATTTAGTTAATCCTGATTATACTATACTTAGAATATGTTAGAATCCTTTGTTAGAAGCATCGGGAACACTTATCCTATAAGGACAATTTATTAATCATTAAGGGAAAGATTTAAAACCATTGTTTAAATCCAAAGGAAGTTTCTTTTTAGAGGACTTAAAGCAAAAGAAGTGAATTTGAATATTCATTAAAAACATTACAATTATAATTTTAATCATTTTCTTATAATTTTTTGAATAATATGTGTTTGTTATTAGTATTTAAATATTTGAATAATATTGAGATGGACGTACAATACACTATTAAATTTATAATATAAACAGAGTAAACAGGTTTAGTCCTAATAATGATTACTAGTAGTTTAGTATAATTTAGATTTTCAGTTTTTAAAAAGTTAACAATTAATAACAAAGATAAGAAGAAAGATACATTTAAAAAATAAAATTAAACTTACTAATAATCTTAAATGATAAAAAAGTTAAACATTGGGATTGAATGATTTTTAAAATTACTCAATCTTGGTAATATTTTCGTAACCTGTTAATTATTTTTTCAATTGATATTAAAAGTATTAGAGAGAATAAAGGACTGAAAAGATATATTAATCATCAATAAGTATTCCAACCGCTAATAAGATTTACTTAATTATCTCCATCCCTAACAATAATCTTAAATAAGCTCTATATGAATTACATCCAAAGTAGCTACTTTCAATAATAATTTTGCATATAAGGAACAGTTATTAATCATTAACATAAGAACTATGTAATTTTACCTAAAGCTAATTTTTTACAAATTAATTAATGGTTCAATTTTATTATTGTTTATGAAGTTACAGAATTACCCAAAATTGGATTTCATAACATAATGGATAATTTAAAAAAAATAACAAAATTAATCTTCTATATAACTTTGAGTTTAACCCAAAGACAATAAATTTTAGAATTTACTAAATTTATTGATATTACATAAATGTATTATTTTCTCTTAAACAGTTTTAATGTTATCAAGTCAGATGTTTAAGAAATTTTGGACCTTCATATTTTTAAGCAATTTTTGAATGTCTGATTCAACTCCTTGCCCTTCCAAATTTCTTCAATTATTCCTTTTACACTGATTGTTAATATATGGCAGCAAGCTGTGTTGATGCTTTAATACTACTTTTGCAACTATTTTGTCCCATCAAATTTATAATTTTAATAGTTTACTACTGAATATTATTTTTCATCCCCAATATTACGTCTCATCTTTACTAATTACCCTCTAGTAGATACAATTCAAAATTAATTTAATGGTCCATGAATAGCTAGGTAGTACAAGTCATATATGTCTACAAACAGATGCATTTCAAATTATGTCTAAAGGAGCTATTTCTTCTACCTCCCTTCTGCCAACTTAAGAATTTAAAATTCTTCTTTCATAAAGTAGAAAAGCTACTTCTGAGTACTCTGATGCAAATTGCTCATCGATTGAAATTGAGTATTGTGATCTAAAAAATTGATTCACATGTTTTAACAAAGCTGCTTTATATATTAATGCATATAATGTCGATATATTTTTACTTTGTACATCTTGCATCAAGTTTTCGGTAACGATCATAGCACATATCAGTTTATGTTACTTATATAGTACAGGCTATCATACATTCAGTATTAAAATGCACAAAGCCATAAATGAATGTGCTGCCCCCAATTCGAGTTAAAAATATAGCTAAGTGATTGGTATCTCCAACATCATCAGCAAATTTCTGCTACTAAAGAGTTGACTTTTTGCAGTTTTGTTAATTCAATTAAGTTGCTATGCTGTGCAGTATCTGATTGTGAACATGAAAAATAGTCATTTTAAAAATTTATCAACTTTTGATTAGATATTACATTTTTGCTGCAAATTTATTTAAACAATTCACCTCTTCATGTCTAATTTTCTTTTCAAAATGATTATCATACAGATACTTATTAATTCTTGAAATATTTATTACCCAGCTAAACGTACGATTGTTCTACTTTAAATTTATACGCACACTTCTTCTTGCAATGATATTGTTCGTGTTTATATTGCTAATAACTTCACAATTTATAAATGTTAACCCTGATGTAATCTCAATTATTTAAATATTTTGCAATCGAAAAAAAGACTCGGAATACTTACTCAATTATAAAGTTACATGCTGTTCAGCTTGCACAAAAGGATATTTCTTATTTAACACTGTTTGTGCTATCAACTTTAACAAGTGATGAACTTGTTAATTGCTTACAAATTCTCCATAAACTGACTCTGCTTTTTGTGTAAATCATGCATTCTGATTCATTACATTGACTATAGTCAGCTATTGTTTCTAAGTATTTTCATTATATTTTCTTAACACTTCCCAATAGCTTGCAGTTTTGCTGCAAGTTCAAATTGAGTCAACATCACAAGGTAAATAATGGTGTTCTTTTCTCTAAAGTCAGATAATATATGTTGGTTTGTTTCCTAGTAGCATTCGTATATTGTAATTGATGCCCTCCTGAGGAGATTTTAACAGCTGCATATAATTAATGTCCAAAAGCATGCTTACTTGTTCAGATAAATATTAGCACACGATTTATGATAGCTTTAATTCAAATGAGTTTATTACTTTACATTATTTTAAGTTCTTCAATAAAAGGCTGCTAAAATATCACATTTTACAAATTATACCTATACAATATATATATCAGGTGCTGAGAGAAGTCATAACTACTTTCAATTCCTATTTATTTAGTAGTAGATTGCTCCTTTGATTTTACAAACGTATTTGACTAGATTTAATATGCCATTTCTTGGTAAATCCATTTATAAGTGGACAATTTATTTTGCTGGCAAGGATTATCCTTTCTTGTGCTTAATCAATAGTCACCTTTCTGGCGATCTTTGTGGACCTCCCAATATTACATCACTTAAATTAATTATCACATTCACAACTTTATGTGAGAAAATCCCTCCTGTCACCTCTAATTCCTTAGTAAGAAGTGAACTGCTAAGAGATTGATTAGCTATTGGTTATTTCAATTATTAAACTAATCTCTATCATTTATGCACATAATCTCCAACCAACTGCTTAACTTAGCTTATTTTGAAGATGGTCATTTTTGTATATTGTCACTCTTATGGTCTTTATCAGTTTACAATATTTATTAATAGGCTAATGATATCTGTAAAGAACGTTGTTTTGACTGAATAAATCTTCGTTGAACTAACCATTACCTTCAATGTTGATCTTACATATCTTGGTATTATGATACTCTTGGGGTAGATCTTATAAAGAATTGATAATAAAAAATTTGAANGTTTTTTCATTCTATATTCTTTAGGAATCCAATTCTGCATAAGTTAATGTAAGTTTTCATCAGTAGTGTAATTTAAATCAACACTAAATTTTTGCAATTTGGCATTTCTTTCAAATAATAATATGCAAGCTACATTTTTGATTCATAGTATAAAACTCAAATTATAGTAATAGAAATTCAATATTATATTTAACAAAGATGATGCAAAACAAGAAAGATGACTTGTTTAAGGTGTTATAATTGATTGAAGGTATGGATGATAAAATCTACATAATAATAGAAAAGCTCTTTAAGGATGGATAGTCAAATTCTCTCAAATTTATTTCAAATATTGAAAATAAACTTAGTTACAAAAAATACATTGTTTTATGCAACAATTTATAGTCTTTTTGATTAGCATTGGAAATTGGACTCTGCTAAAAGCAATCTTAAGAAAATTACAAATGTTCTCAAAATAATAAAAGATCATCAATTTAATAAACAGAATTACTCATTTGATGATTATGAACAATTTAAAAGAATCTATTCACAAAAATATCGTTGGATAAGAAGATAATCGAATTCCTAAAATTTTAGTTCATCTGACTGCTTTAGATGAGAGATATATTTAGTGTGGATCAAATTCTCTTCATTTGCTAGTTTAGATGAAGGCTGATTTGAGGGAATAAAGTTCTGAGAATATCAGGACTTAGAGATACCTCTTTATTTTGTGGAAATTTTGTAAGATGCAATTTCAGTGGATCGGAATTTGATAATGTGGATATAAGTGGAATGAACTTAAATCATGCTTTATTGTTTAATTGTAAATGGAAAAATATCAAAATTCATGAGTTAAATACATTATATGGTCATCATGGAAGTGTCAATTAGATATGCTATTCTCAAGACGGTAAATTATTAATGTCTTGTAGTGATGATAACTCGATTCAAATATGGGATGTTAAAACAGCAAAAATTTAGTCTAGAATTAAGGAAAAGAAAGTAGTAAATTCAATATGCTTCTCACCTAATAATGGCAATAGCTTTCAGCAGTGGAGAAGTTGTGTACTTATGGAATCTTATAACAGGAAAATAATTTTCTAAATTGATTGGTCATTCATCAACAGTAACTTCAGTCAATTACTCTCCTGACGATCCTACATTAGCACCTGGTAGTAATGATAACTCTATCCGTTTATGGGATGTTAAGACAGGATAATAAAAAGCCAAATTTGATGGTCATTGGGCAGTTTTATCAATATGATATTCTCCTGATGGTACTACATTAGCATCTGGTAGTAGGATAACTCTATCCGTTTATGGGATGCTAAAACATCGCAAGAGATTCAACCTTATAATAATTGTTACAAAGACCATCTTTCTTAGTTTAAATTGCCACTTTAAAATCACTCAATTTAAAAAATTGTATCTATTAATATTATTCTTTAGTTAGGATTGATCATACAATACAATGAATATGTAAAAATCATTTTGGAAGCCTCAGGAGCTTAAATTTTGAGAGGAGTTTTTGAAAATTATTAAGGTAAGCATAAACTTTCTATAAATTTCTTCAATATGCTGAATAATTTTAATAACTTTTTAAAGAACATTATTCCTACATTTCTATGTGATAAGCGAACTTTAAGAATCTGAGACATAAGCTTAAAAGTTTTAAGTTAAATGAAAGGTTAAATTCTATATCTGAGAAAAGCTATATTTAATTCTCATGATAGTGATGCTAATTTTATTAGTTAAAGTAGGTATAAGAAAAATAACTAATCTAACTTACATTATTTTATTATTTCAAATGACATAACAACGTTTATCAATTGAAATTTGGAATCATTCCCTAAAATTGTGAATTACTTTTAAGTTTATTTAACAAATAAATTTATAT